GGTCAGCATCGGAGGCCCGCCCACCTCCAGGGACGGTCAGCATCGGAGGCCCGCCCACCTCCAGGGGCGGTCAGCATCGGAGGCCCGCCCACCTCCAGGGGCGGTCAGCAAGAGGAGACGGTGACTAAGGGACCGAGGGGAAATTCTCGAACAAATGTCCGCACCTCCGCTCGCCCGGGCTCGCAGGAGCACTCTTCAAGCCTGGCACGCCTGCTCTTTGCTTCTTCGGCTGGTCTTGAGGACGGGCACACGCACGGGATGTTGTTTCTTCGAGGGGAGATGCCATAATGGTAACATCAGCAGCGACGTCAGAAACTGCCTGGTTCTGCCCTGGAGGGGGTGGCTCCGGGCCAGGGCGCTGGCCGCGCCCAGGGGGCAGGGGTGGTTCCTGGGCAGGGGCAGCGCCTGGGCTGCAGGTTCCCGGGCACCGCCCAGCCTCTGTGTCGCGTCCATCGCCCTCCGTCCCTCCCCCCTCTGGAAAGCAATGGCAAAAGTATCCTCAGGCGAGGGTTGGCAAAACAGCAACAGCCAGAACAACCCACGCAGTTCTGTAATCCACAGTTATCAAGGGTCTGGGTCCTAGGCCCTGAGGGTAACGCTGTGCGCTGGCACTGAACTTTATGGGCTTTAGATCGTTGGTTTATCTCTAGTTTGAGTCATTTGTCCCGAGACTGTGTCCTCCCTAGGGCGTGGGGCGGAGAGGTGTTGAGGAGCCAGGGCAATGTACGCAGGGACCCAGTCTTCTGGTCATGAATCACAAGTTTTATCAGGATCTTAAATCTGGTTTTGGGGGGTAACAATGTAAATAACTGAGAATATCTGCACTCATTTTCCTGGCTAAGGGACACTAGAAGTGATGAAGTTTCCTATATCTTTTCTATTTAAAAACAACCTATTAAATCTGAGCCTTAAGGAAAGTCATATTGCTGTTGAGAGTCTGCATAGGGGAGAGAATGTGTGTACTGAAGGCTCGGGTTGATTTCGGTCTCTGCCATTGACTCACCAAGGCACATTTACTCTCTTTGAGTTTGTGCCCTTAACTGTAAAATGACATGCCAACACCTCCTTGGGTTGTTTTTAAAAATCCAGTGGATCTTAATAGATGTGAAAGTAAACCCCTCCACACACACACTCACCAGTAAAGCACAGTATAAGCACAGATGATATTTTATCAGTATTAGGCCCTAGAGCCATGTTCTTTACATGTATCAAAATAATTGTGAAAGGGAATAATCCTTTTATTTTGGTAGAAACTATGTCTGGTGTTGTTTCTTCTGGTTCTAACGTCTTTCTGTTGGCTAAAGATTCTGGGCAACAACAGAGAGAAGTTGGAGAAGTGGGGAGAGTTCATCCAGCTAAACCAAAGGCGTTGGAACTAGAAGTCTGCCGCAGATCAGACGTGGCAGCTTGTTTGGAAAGAACTCATTTGTATGAATCAGGAAACTTGCATATGATGCTCGTTATTGGAAGGGCAATTATATGAAAATTCTCTGAACCTAGCACAATATAGGGGTGGGCAAAAGTAGGTTTGCAGTTGTTCATATGGAAAAAAAAACATGCAGGTTATGATTATTACAGTAGCTTTATTAATTCAAAAGAATGTCACAATGCAACTGTAAACCTACTTTTGCCCACCCCTGTATATACAATGAAACAGAACTTTATAGCTATTAAAAATATAAATACATTTTTCACTCATGTTTATTCATGTTTTAAACACAATAAATAATTTCACTCTTTTCATATAAACTATTTAACGAATCTAATGATCAAACTTTTGAAAGAGAAACATGTAATTCATTCTTTTACTCAACATATTTATCGGGCTTCTACTATATT